AAATGTATTGTAAAACTTTAAATGACTGAAACATCAAGCAGTTCCTACCAACTCTAGCTAAGTAGAATGGTGAAAATTATGTATCTGTATGTGGGTGCAAAAGCATCTCAGTGTAATTTACACAAAGAAGGTCCTACTTTAACAGACATTGTTTTACTCCTTCTTAGTTGCCCTCCTTGTGTAAGCTGCAGCAGTTCAGGCTTGCTTACTTTCACCTATCAGTCAATAATTTACAGTTTACCTCTGAATTTGAGGAAACACTAATGTTTAAATGAATGCACAAATTCACTATGTTAGCTCTACTTTGATGATTAAATCAGAGTTCAGGCATATATGGTTTTCTAAATAGTCCCTAGCATTGTGTGAACCTTATGAAATGTCAAACCCTTTTTAAAACAAAATGATACTTCAAAATGAATACAGCTTCTCTTTGTGGACCTTTTTCTTACATATGGGAAGGATTCTATAGCACTGTGAAATAATTCCTCACATAACATGTTAGAGATTAAAAATGAGCTATTTTCAACAAGTGTATGAAAGCAAAAGTTCATTGTCCTAAATACATATATAATGGGTTATACTGGCTTGTTTCAAGTTACTATACAAAATCTCAATAGTATTCTAAACGACTATACGATGAAAATATACATTAATTGTATCATATTAATACAGGTTTACATTTTCATTTATTTGAATGCTTGTAACATTGTTGATGTTATGGAGAAAGGTACAGTACATTTCCAGGGAGGTTAAAAACTATAATTTAGATACACAACGTGCTAGACCTAATCATTTGAAAGTAACAGAGTTTATTCTTTTGCCCCTCCCTTTTTCTATGAAGTTTTTTATTGTTAGTAAACTGTATCTTCCCATAGTGTATAATGATTTGGTGTGACAAGTTTCTGACATGGGATCAAACATTACCTAAGTGGATCTGGTAGAATCACCTGCATTCATATCAATAGTCTGTCTACTAAAATACATTGGGATATCTCCCAGAGATCAAATTGATGCCTAATTATACTAATTGCAATGAATCTCACTTAATTGCTTGAAATCTTCTTGAAAATCTCTTGGAAGTTTCAACTAATGCTTAATGTGTGAGCCTTTGTTGAATAAGGCAAGACCAAGAGATGCTTTTGATGCCGTCTTTGTGCTGACTCAATTTATTTCCACATGCTAGTTAATAATCTGTGAAGCTCACTAGAAGACAATTGGGAATTATTTTTCTTCCTTCCCTCCCTCCCCCACTTGGAGAATTTCTTGATTCCAAAAGCTGGGAGGACTTTCAATCAAAAGTATCCGTAGTCTAAATCAGCTTCCTAATCTCCAGTATGGATGTGGATGACATTTTATATCTCTAACAACCTTTTGTAGTTTTGGTTAAGAAGAAGACCAAGACATTTCTATCTGTAGATAACTTAATTGTTGTTCCAAAGACTTCCAAAGTGGTCTTGAAGTGGAAAAAAAGGACTTTGAGTAACCTGTTTTGTCTGTTGGATGTGTTAGTCTCACAGCCTGTCATGAATGGTCTATTTCTGCTTTGGTATAAAATTCATATACTTGAAGATGTTTTTAGAAGTTGTGTTATAAAGGGCTTCCTTTTATCCTTTTTTCTCTACTCATCTAATTTGGATCTAATGGTCTCATACAATTCAAATAGCTTTCATAATTTGTGCCTGATTTTTATCCATTAATAAGCAAGCATCAACTAAGTAAAAAGAGAAACTAAATTAAGATGAGAATACTCCTCAGAATTTGCTCGCGTAAACAACAAAGAACTATCCAGATTCAATGACGCAGCAATCCAAGTATAATTGATGAACTCCAGTGTCTTCACTAATTTTTCTCACAAACAGCATTATACTTGTCTCTGATCGGAATATGAAGAAAGCCACGTGGAGGGTCAGACATACTGGAGTAGTGTAGACTAATAAGCAGCTGTGCCACCCGTGCCTTCCAATCCAGGGTGCGTTATGATGTCTTGCTGTAACAGTTCCAACCTGGGTTGCTCACAAACAGCCTTCCTGTATGTATGTACAGCCTTCCTGAGTGTTTGTAGGTAACTGCAGCCTGCAAGCCATACTTGGGTTACACTTTGGTTCTCACCAACCTGTGTTATACTTCAGGGTGACCACCAACATACTCCCGGTCTTAGATTTCTCCCCAGAAATGTATGTCCTATACTACCCAGCTCTTTCTTGGACAATACAAGTTTATATAAAGTCTGTTGTTTCTTTAATAGAAATAATATACATGCAACTCACCACCCGAATGGAGTTTCCCAAACTTCAGTTTAAACTGTCTGGATTAGATAAAATAATTAAATAAGTTTATTAGCTACAAAAAGAAGAATTTTAAGTGAAAACAAGTAATAAAAGTTAGAAATGGCAAGAAGAAAGAAAATAAAGTTGCCAAGCAATTAAAATATTAATCGGGATGAATCATGCTGTTAATAATAGAATATCATTTATTTAAATATTTTGGATCTTTTCTGCCTTTTCAAATGTTTTTATTTCAACTACAACACAGGATATGAAGTGTACAGTGTTGTTTTTATATTTATTTTTCTTACAAATATTTGAATTGTAGTTTCCTCATCACAGTGTGGCACTTATAGAACTTCTGAAAGCATGTTCCATACCTTGTCCTTCTCAGACTTTAGAAGGCATTTCAGATTCTTAAATCTTGGGTAAGTCTGTAGCTATCTTTAGAAAACTCACATTGGTACTTTGTGTTTTGTCAAATCTGCAGTGAACATGTTCTTAAAAAGAACATGTGTTGGGTCATCATCCGAGGCTGCTATAACAGGGGCAAGCAATAAAAATGGTGATGGTTTGCTAGGGTTAGCCTCTGGCAAGCCATTGCCACTATATTTAGCTGTACCTCCCGGGTAGGGGTGATCGCAGCTCTTGCTGGCTGCAGTCGCTGTGTCCGGCTAAGAGGAATGTCAGGAAGCAGTGGGCCATTATTTGCCTACCCCTGTGCTATAACAAGAAATATTTGGCAAAATGTGGGTAAAACCCAGAGCAGGAGATATATAATTCTCCCCCAAGGAGTTGTCACAAATTTAATTAGCGCATTATTTTTATAACAAGCAGCATCAACATGGGAGCTTGTCCTCTGGGATGGTGGCCAAAGCACAAAGGGCATACAAAAGTTCAGCATATCTGCCATGTGAATATCTTGCAATGCCTGCTATGAAAGTGCCATTTGAATGCCTATTCTCACTTTCAGATTACATTCTAAATAAGAAGTGAATGGCATAATCTCCTGCAAATGTAAACAAACTTGTTTCTGTAAGCGGCTAGCTGAACAAAAAGTGAGACTGAGTGGACTAGTAAACTCTAAAGATTTATATCGTTTCGGTTTTGAGTGCAATTATGTAGCAAATTAGATTTGTAAGTTGCACTTTCACAATAAAAAGATTGCACAACGGTACCTATACGAGATACATTAAAAATATTATTTTAAAATAATTTTACAGTTTAATTATTTGTAATAAAAATAATATAAAGTGAGCACTGTACACTCTGTATTCTGTGTTGTAACTGAAAATGTAGAAAAACATCCACAAATATTTTATACATTTCACATGGTATTCTATTGTTTAGAAGCTCAATTAAAACTGTGATTAATCATGATTAATTTTTTTGAGTTAATTGTGTGTTAACTGCAATTAATTGACAGCCTTAAAATAAAAATAAAACACAACGGTGCCTAACAAACTATGTTAAATTCAAAGCAAAGCTTTTTCACCACATGCTTTCAACAATCTTACTTACCAGACTTCTTAGTCAGGACCCCTTATCCCAGAATCCAACAAATGCTTCCTTGGGTGCTTCAGGTGCCCTAATTGCAAGGAGAATAAGAGAGGTGCCCTGGCGTGTTTGTCTCTCTGTTTTATAATATTAGTTCCCCCCTTGAAAAAATATTTCTAGTTGAGTACCCAGAATCAAAAATCTACAAGGAAGGATTTTTTTTCCACCTGTTTGTGCTTCCAGTGTTTCTGTTCCTGTGTGATGATTCTTTACTGCATAAATGCAAATTAAGCAGAACACACATTCCTTTGTTTGACACTGACTTGTTTCCCAATCTCTGCTGGAATACATTTTGTTAACACCATAGATAGAGATCTTAAAACTTCAAATGCAGTGTTGCCATGCTTATTTTTTCAGGGAAGTATTGACCTACAGATATTTGAACTGTAAACATTATAAACAAGACATGCTTTTTACCTGAATTATTAGTGTGTAGGTATGTGAATACAGGGCTATATTCTATTATATGAGAGATCACTTTTTTATTGTGTTTTACATCTCCTAGGCTACGTCTACATTGGCCCCTTCTCCGGAAGAGACATGTTAATTTCCAACTTCAGAATAGGGAAATCCGCGGGGGATTTAAATATCCCCGCGGGATTTAAATAAACATGGCCGCCGCTTTTTTTCCGGCTTGGAGAAAAGCCGGAAAAAAGCGTCAAGACTGGCGCAATCCTCCGGAATAAAGCCCTTTTCCGGAGGATCTCTTATTCTTATTCCTACTTCAAAGTAGGAATAAGAGATCCTCCGGAAAAGGGCTTTATTCCGGAGGATCGCGCCAGTCTAGACACTTTTTTCTTCCACTATTTGATCTGAGGAAGTGGGTCTGGCCCACGAAAGCTCATCATCTAATAAACCATCTTGTTAGTCTTTAAAGTGCTACATAGTCCTGCATTTTGCTTCAGCTACACCAGACTAAGACGGCTACATTTCTATTACTAATTAATATTAGTTACTTCGTTGTTGGTGGAAAGCATATGGGATACATACATTGCATTTGAAGTATGTACTTGCTCATTTAGGATACAGTCCTACATGGTCCTCAGCATTTGTACATCATCACTTTTTCATAGTATTTTAGAGTGTTTGGCCCATAGCAAGATGACACCTTTTAAAGATATTCAGTACATAAAGCACTGCAAGAATTATCAAACTGAAATCTTTTCTCCTTGTACACAGAGTTCATGAAAATGTCATCAGATATACCATTAGACATTAATATCAAGGAACCCCGCTGGGATCAAAGCACTTTTGTTGGAAGAGCCAATCATTTCTTTACTGTAACGGATCCCAGGAATATTTTATTACCTAATGAACAACTAGAAAATGCAAGAAAAATAGTGCATGATTACAGGTATGATAGCTGGATATATTTGGCCTTTGGTAATAATAACAATTTTTATTCGATCATAAATGATTAAATTTGCTAAGTGTCTCACATATCAGTTGGTGATTATATCTGTCTAATGAAATATTTTAAACATTTTTAAAGCGATATAGCTTCCTTTAGGTATCATATAGTATCTTTTTGTAATGCCAAGTGTATGTGATATTTAAAATAGTAGTATCCAGAGTTATGAATTAAGCTACGTGGTCTGAGAATCAGGGTTAAGGAACCACTCTTGTCTGTGGATGATCTTCTAATTTCAATAAAGGGTTGGTATGACAGATGTACTTAGAGCTGTCTTTGACTGTTCTTTTATTTGAGGGACTTAACTTCTCAGACTTAACTTCTTAACTTCTGAAGATAAATGTTCAGAGTTGGACATGGGATTTTGTTCACGTGATTGTTAGTGACTTTAATGGAAGTTTTATAACTGATATCTCCACATTGTTTTGAACAGGTAGATGTTTGTTATGGACAGTAAACTAAGGTATCTAGCCATTGCTAAGAATTTTGGTTGTATCTTGAGCAAGCTATGTAAAAGCTAAGTCTAACAAATTAATTTGTCACTGTGGGTCTTAACATACAGTTCAATAGAAGCTAAAGTATAATACAGTTTTCTATCTTTTTATATGCATTCTGTTTATCCAAAAGTCTTTTGGTACTATATCTCTTTGTTTTTACTAATTGCTATGTTTTATTACAATACTTTTTAAATGTATTTCCAAGACAAGGTATTGTGGCCCCTGGATTGACAGAAGATGAACTATGGAGAGCAAAATATGTGTATGATTCAGCTTTTCACCCAGACACTGGTGAAAAGATGATTTTGATTGGCCGAATGTCAGCTCAAGTACCGATGAACATGACTATCACAGGTTGTATGATGACCTTTTATAGGTAAGTGGTGTCAATATAACACAAATATTATCAGTAGATTAAGTAGTTAAAATTTAAAATAGATAGCGTACCCAAACATTTTAGAAGTTAAAAACAATAAGTATTCCTGTGGAACATTTTAGAAGATGTTTTATAAATATTTCTTTATATATAAAATTTTGCCTCCTTTCCCCTTGTATCCTTACAGCCTCTCTTACTTGCATTTATTGGTAGTTTTCTCTAGATGTACCATTGAGGTGAGTCTTTTAGCCCACTCTAATAATTCACCAAATATCCTGCTTTTCCTCATTTAACTGAGGAAGTTGAATGTTCCAAAATCCCATCCTTATAGGAGAGTTATTTGGAGAACAAAGAGCAGGAGATTCTGTTTGAGAATTCTCACTGTAGAGATTTGGCATATAGGATGCTTTGTGCAAAGTGTTAAACATACTTTGGTCTGTCAGTTTGTCCAGTGCCATGTCTCTTTTATATACCTCTTTTCCTCAAAAGCATCTGAATTACCCTTACTCCAGATCTTCAAAAATTCAATGGAATCTATTTTCAAACATAGTCTCAGTATTAGGGATGTTAGAGTTAAACTCTGCCCCACTCCCAGGGAAGCAGTTTCACTGTGGGCTCTGCGCTATGAAACTTATAACCGTGTAAAAGCTAAGATTTTTAATGCTTACGTGGTTACCTTATTAAACTGCTTTTAACATCCCCACTCAGTATCTTCTGTTTTATCTATCTATCTATCTATCTATCTATCTATCTATCTATCTATCTATCTATCTATTTCAGAAATAATATTATTTTTCTTAGAAAAACTAGTGGAGGAGTTAGAGGCAGTAACATTATTGTATTTGATTCAGGGATTATAAAATTATCTTCACTTTTTCTCATGACCTCAAGAAAAAGCAGGGGCCATTTTGCAAGATATTCTTGTTATGTGTAAAAGGATCTTCGCCACCAAGCACCAGCTAGGAATGTCAAAGAAATCATCAGTGCTGCTGTCTGATCACTGACACCTCTGTCTTTTGACAGGGTTATGTGTTGGTTCATTGTGTTAAAATTCAAAGTAGTGGAATGTGCAAAGTCAGTAATCATTAACTTGCTCATAATATTAGCAGCTTGTTTCAGCATATCAGGAAGCAGATGGCACAGAATCCATAAATAGAATAGTCCAGAAGGTGTCTTATGTCCCACTTTCTCAAACTAGTTGTCTTGAAAGAAATAAAGGGAATGATGTTTGTATGCAGGCTCCATTATATTCCTACCTACAGAGCTAATGATCATGAACACTATTATGCCTTTTCTTAATTCCCATCTTTATTCATATCCTTCCTAGACAACATCAGATTCAAAAGTAAATTGTATCAATAGTTATTTTCTAGTCCAGAAGACATTAGTCTCATTGGGCCAGATCCTCAGCAGTGCAAAGAGATCAGAAAGCTTTATTAAACAATCAGATGGAGATTGTTCTTGCAGAAGGGAAATCCTTGGATGATGTAAAGCTGGTATTGCCATTTCTACACCATCCGCTCCTTCCTTGTCTCCAGCATAGAAGGCAAGAGGAGGTGTGTCAAAGAAATATGAGGCATGGTTAGAGTTTCCTGCACTCCAGGAGTTCTGGGTCATTGAAAGAGCTTCTAGGGCACTAATGTAGCTAGTATAGGATGGAACAGCCCTGAGATTGCTCCAACTTACACCAGAGTCTGAATCAGTCCGAGTAGAAAGGAATCACTGGAACATACATGAGGATAGAGGAAGAGCCTGAGTGTTCCAAAATTCCATTTAGATACTGCCTGTCTATCTCCCCAGCCTCAAGAGGCTGTTTTGGGCACCGTATCTCCTTGTCATCATTAAGTCCAGGTGCAATGCTTCCGCTCACTGAAAAACAGAGAGTAGAGTACATGCATTCAACATACTGAGATCTAAACAGGATGAGCTGGACAAGAGAGGGAGATAAGGTTGGTAGGTAAAGGGACACCTGAGAACGGGAAGAAGAGAAGTGACCAAAACGGAGAAAATCCAGCTATTCAGTCAGGATTGTTTTGAGATCTGAATCAGATGTTTAAAAGCAGCAGGAACAATTAAGTAGATTTCAATCACTTGAATCAGTGACTTCTAATTTAAGATTTTAAAAAAATCGAAAAAGATTTGAGATTCAAAATCATCAGTAAATATAGCTTCTTTATTCTAGCATCTCTACATTGTCTGCCTATCCATTCTGCAATTATAAATGACTTTCTGTGTCAGTACTTCCAACAGTCTTTGGCTATCAGTCTTTTGCTCCTGGACCCAATTAATAGCCATATTGATCACCAAAGTAACGTTTCCTTTCTGTCCTTCCTTCCATGTCCTAACAAATAAGTTAGGCTTTCATTCTCCACTGAAAGGAACCACTGGGGACAAAAACTAGTCCTCAGTAATAGCAATTCCTTTTGATGATCTGACCTCTCTGATCCAAATTTGAAAGCAGTAAATAATCTATGGTTTAATCCTGAAAGATGTTGAGTGTTCTGGCGCCAGTCCAGCAAACTGCTTAAGTACATGTTTAATTTTTGAGACTGTAAGTAGTCCCTTTTAAGCAAATGAGATGTGCTTAAATATGATTCTGGATTGAGGACAAGAGCATTCATCAACTTGTAATATCGAGTGCCTCCAAGAATGATAATAAAATCTGACAGTCAAAAAAACCCATAAGCAACAAAAACAAATATTATCAGTCTATATCAAGAAATGCAAAATATTTGCTGATCCCTGTGTCTTTTGTCTCTGCTAATGGCTTGTCTTCTGGAGCTTTATCTCTGAAGAACCTGCTAATCATAATATTTAGTCATCTGGAAAAGGCCCCATAAGTACAATTTACGTGAATTTAATAGGAAGAATGTTCTAATCTATATTCTTTGTTCACACTAATGGGATGTTTTCCATCTCGTAATTCATATGAGAACAGTTATCCCCCACAACCATACGCATTTTAAAAGCACCTATCTGGATAATATTATAGCAGTCACATCAGTTTTGCAGACAGTAGCTTTGGCACAGGAGCATGATCTTCAGCTTTCTTCCTACCCCAACAGCTAAAATATTGAAATGCTTTCAAGGTAGGATTTGTGTCTTGAGGCATCACCTCACTAGCCTTCACACAATTTAAAAGAGGTCTTTTTTTTCAAGTGAATTTGTCATTGATCCTATACTGAATCAGATTTGACATTCATTCCTGTACATTAATATTTATTGTTAGTTGATACAGAAATGTTTGGTTATCCTTTGAGCTAATAATGAAAAATTCACCTGTCGACTCCTGAACTCAAATAAATGTTTCAGTTAAATGTTAAAAACTGCATCACAGGAGCAAACAAGAACATTTTGGAGTAAGAATTTAAAAGGCAGGTTTCTCTTTCTGTGTGGCTGTGTCTAGACTGGCAAGTTTTTCCGCAAAATCATCTGCTTTGGCGGAAAAACTTGCCAGCTGTCTACACTGGCCGCTTGAATTTCCGCAAAAGCACTGATGATCTCATGTAAGATCGTCAGTGCTTTTCCGGAAATACTATGGTGCTCCCATTTGGGCAAAAGTCTTTTTCCGAAAGACTTTTGCACAAAAGGGCCAGTGTAGACAGCACAGTACTGTTTTCCGCAAAAAAGCCCCGATTGCGAAAATGGCGATCAGGGCTTTTTTGCGGAAAACCGCGTTTAGATTAGCCACGGACGCTTTTCCGCAAAAAGTGCTTTTGTGGAAAAGCATCCTGCCAATCTAGACGTGCTTTTCCGAAAATGCTTTTAACGGAAAACTTTTCCGTTAAAAGCATTTTCAGAAAATCATGCCAGTCTAGACGTAGCCTGTGTGTGTGTGTGTGTGTGTGTGAGAGAGAGAGAGAGAGAGAGAGAGATCCAAAAAAAACAGTCCATGAATGCAAATGTGATTATGGGGAAAGATGGGCAAGTAATAACCTGTTGGTAAATTTAGTCTCCATATAAGATGGAAGTAAGTTAGTATATTTTTGTTTAATACTTAGAAGTGAAACTTTTGCCATAATATCTCACTTCTGTTGTTGCAATTCACCTCCCCTCTTGAGTATATAATTAAGAATGTATGTTATTACACTGCCTGGTGCTATGGTATTTAGTTGTGTTTTTATGTTTATTTAAAAAGAATTTTGTATTTTGATTAACAAACTGGTTTCTGATTGGCTGAAGTACTTCAGACTTACCTTGCTCAGATCAATAGGAATAGTCAAGCTGCTCTGTAGGTTAATATTCATTTTGCTTGGTATATCATCGCTCTTTTGTTAATGTGCATTTTAAAAAACACATCATTTCTTGTTTAAGAACTACTCCGGCAGTGGTCTTCTGGCAGTGGATCAACCAGTCTTTCAATGCTATTGTAAACTACACCAACAGAAGTGGAGATGCCCCAATTACTGTCAGGTCAGATGCTTAATCAAACAGTTTAAATACCTTTGTAACCAGCCATGCCATGTATCATAGATGGTTGAACTTCAGAAATCTCTGATACAGTATGTGGACATGAGTCACTGTATAGATCAGTGAGAGAGCGTGCTAACAATGCAAAGAGTTGCTTGAGAATGACTTGCGGTTGCAATTATCTTCAACCTTTTAAAAATGAATATAACTGCTAAGAGTTAATCTTTAACTGTAATAGAGGTCTTCATTGCCTGTTTAACCAGTCATTTGAAAATACTAAATTAGCTCGTTACCTTGTCAGAAGCTTTGGATAATGTCTTTAATTAAGGACATCAACAGATTATATATAGGACATGATCCTTAACAGCCTCAGTTCAGAGTAGTCCTGTGGCACCTTAGGGTATGTGTACACAGCAACGGTATTTCTGAATAACTAATGTTATTTCATAATAACAAAGAGTGAGTCCACACAGCAAGCCGTTATTTCGAAATAGTGTCAAAATGGAGGACTTCTTACTTCAACTCCTGTAACCCTCATTTCACGAGTGGTAAGGAAAGTCGAAGGAAGAACAGTCTTCCTTTGACTTCCTGCTATTTAGACAGCACCAAAAGCCGAATTAATCTATTTCAACTTCAGCTACGCATTGATGTAGCTGAAGTTGCGCAGCTTAATTTGACTTTTGCCCTGCTGTGTAGACATACCCTTAGAGACTACCAAAAATATATAGAATTATGAGCTTTCATGGGTAAAATCCACTTCATCAACTGAGTGCAGTTCAGACTGTTGGACATCTGAGAGAAAGCTAAAATACAATGAATAGATTGAGATGCAAAGAGAAATTTGATTGCACATTAAATAAAATGCGGCTTTGTTTTTAAGCTAAGTTATTTTGGTTCGGTATTGATGCATATTGTTTTAGATATAGAATTTTAAGATATTTCAAATTAATGTAAATACAAATGCAATCATTTTTATTTTTGTTTTAGCCAGCTGGGAACAGCCTATGTTTCTGCCACTACAGGTGCTGTAGCAACAGCTCTAGGACTTAATGCACTAACAAAGGTACTGCTCAAATTTTTCTGAGACTTTCAGTGTTTAGTAGAATTTTAGAGGTTTCATCATCCTCTGGTGCCTCTACATTTTGTTAAGCCCAATTACCATTATAGAACTACAATTACCTACTGCTAGTTTAGAATCGTGGATTGATTTTTTTTCCAGTCCCTCCTTCTTGCTATTGCAAATTGCATATACTGAAAAAGTGCCTCCTTTTTGTACACTTGCAGTGTTACATGTCTCAATAGCTTTTAGAAGAAAAATCAAAAAAATAAGACAGGTAACCACTAAGATATATATGTTCATAATCCACTTATATGAACAAAATATGCAGGAACATTTTTTATAGTTGCAAAACTGCACCAGCAAACAGGGAAGCTGATCCTCAGTCTAGCTGAAAATTTGGCCATATAGGTCAAAGCTATGCTGCAGCCAAACTGCAATCAAAGATGTGATTGCAGCACAGATCCACACTAGTAGAGCCCTGTGCAGATACAAAATTTGTATCCACATCTGTATCCACAAAAACGAGCTGTGGATATCCACATTGACATCCGAGGATGCAGATACCTGCTGATATAAAGCAGATGCAAATTTGCAGGGTTCTAAATACAAAATTTGTATCTGCATCCACATCTGTATCCACAAAATGAGTTGTGGATATGTGCATCCATATCTGTGGATGTGGCTACCCGCAGATATAAAGCAGATGTCTGCAGGGCAGGGCTCTATGTACTAGCTTAAGCTGAGTTAACATGACTAAAAATAGCAGTGAGGATGTGACACCACAGATGAGGAGTGGGCAAAAGTGGCTGGTGGACCAGGACATTGCTTCATGCAGCTCCCATTGGCCAGGAACAGTGATTCATGACCAATGAGAGCTGAGAGTGACCCTACCTGTGAATGTACAGGTAAATAAAGTGTCTAACAACCCACCCTGGGGTGAACCCTGGTGAACTGCATCTGGTCTGTGAGTCATTTACTGCTCACCCCTGCCGCAAAGCCTGGTGCAGGCTGCACAAGCCCTTCTGTGGTCCTGGGTACATACCTGATTTGTTAGCTAAATTAAAACTAGCATGAGTATGTTTCCTCCAGCTACAAACACCTTTCAATTGCAGGTCAGCTGCAGTGTAGACATAGCCAAAGCGTGAACAAAGTAGTCTGGTATTTAGGCATAAAATAATATTTATGAAGGATGTAGTTATTCATATACCTACATATCTTCTGTTATTTACTGTTGATTGCCATATCTCCTGGAAATATATCAAGAAATTTATGCCAATGAACTTAGTACTTTTATCAAAATCCTTGATTAAAACTTGTAAACTTTGCAAGAATATTATATTTTGCAATAGCAGTACTTGCAACTATTTTCACTACCTCCCTTTTTATATTAATGTTTCTTTCACTTTAAAATGTAGAGAATTGGAGTTTTCTTATCACTCTGCTTCTGCACAAGGGATTCTGTTTTGCTTTCAGCTTCAAAGGCTTATATATTCTTCTTCCCAAAATGTTTAATTTTAATATGTGCTTGAGTGCTCCAGTGATGAGTGAAGAGACACATTACTTTACTTATATATTTTTTCAAAATTTTTTGCAACTCTGTCCCAAACTGTCATTACAGATTTAATGAAAATGCTATGGAGTATGTCATAATATTGATCTTAAACTGATTTCAGGTTGAAAATTGTCTAGTTCTTGACATAAATCCCCAGATTTACCATGAAAGAAGTCTCTCTATCTTTCTCTCTCACTTTACACCCTTCCTCAAAAAAATAATAGCATGTCTTACCTATTATTGTGAAATTTCAGGTTTGGAGAAAATGCAATAATGACAAAATGATCAAGAGAATCTCTTTTAAGTAGAGCATAACATCTTATAGAACATACTGAACTGATCAATAGCTTCTAATTAGTCAGTTCCCTTAGTTACAAAGCTGTTAATATTGATGCCTGGTGGATATAATCTTGCCAGTGGATGGAATTAAATTTCCACTCTTTGCTATTACACGTGTGTATCAGGAAACTCACATTTCTAAGCATTGGTGATCCTAATTGTAAAGACTGTCTCTCCTTCAACCTTCCTGCCAATGCTTATCCTGACAGAGAAGGTTGTCAATTAAAAATTTTATGTCCGAATTATTTTGCCCTTAATTTCTCAGTGGGTTCTCTCTGAATTTTAAGTCAAAGAGAAGAATCTGCTTTATATATTTAAAAAATGGCTTAAGAAGACTTTTTAAAAAAGATTGTGAAACCTGAAAACTTTTCCCTCCCCTTTTCACAGCATGTCTCACCCCTTATAGGACGTTTTGTTCCTTTTGCTGCTGTAGCTGCTGCCAACTGCATAAATATTCCGTTAATGAGGCAAAGGTAAGACAGAAAATGTGATACAGTCATTCCAGAAGAAATGTAATTTTTGTTGCAACACAGATGAATTACTTGTTTTGTTTAGTTAATTTATCAGTTTTACGTTTCTATATATTTTAGCTACCGTGTTTTAGCGTATATAACCCGCGAGTTATGCAAAGTTTTACAACCCCTTCTGCCCCCCCCCCTCCGTGGGCTGTACTCGTCCGCGTGTTATACAAGTTTTTTTTAACTGAAATTACAGGCAGACAAGACTGACTCTTACCTGATAAAAGCAGCATGGGGATACCCTGCGACCTTCTTCCCTCTGTTGCATCTGTCCGAATGTGTCTGACTCTCCCTGAGATGGGGGTACTCTGTTTAAGGACACAGGTCCTTTGCTCAGCTTCTGGCTCTGGTTGCCTGCGACAGACAGCTCACCCCCGGGGGAGTGCACAGCATGGGCAGTGGGGATGATTGGAGACAGTCGAGGGGTAAGCCCAGTCACCTTCCCTTCTCATGCAGCTGCCCACGACACAGCCAGTCGCCCTGCCGGGCTGCGGCCATCTACTCTGCACTGTGGCAGTTGTGCAATGATGTATCTGGAGCTCAAATGTTTCTGCATGGCAGGCTCAGACCCCGACGCCTGAGTTAATTACCCTCGTTATCGTTCATAAACAGTACCCGCTGTTCGTCTCCCACGGGCTATACACGTGTGTGGGTTATCTAAGACTTTTTTTACACAATCAGGAAAAACCGTGGGTTATGCATGGGTGCAGGTAATACATGGGTTATATACACTAATTTATGGTATTTTCAGTCTTTTATGGCATTTCAATGGCAGTCTTTTTAAAGGATTTAATGAGCCCAAGTATAAAATAGAATTTTTGTTCTCCTAAGTATCCCATTTGCTCCTAAGAATCCTGTTGGATATTTGCTCTTGCATCTCAAAGCCAAGTATTTGTCCTTCAAGAGCTGAATATATATAGATTCATAGGAACTTAAGAATGGCTATATTGGGTATGACCAATATTCTGTCTAGCCCAGAATTCTATTTTCCAACAGTGGCTGGTGCCAGATGCCCAGACCCGCTAATGGGGGACATGGCGGGGGAAGGGTCTGATAATCTAAAGCAATCTGGGGCTCCCAGCTGCTAAATCACTGCTGGAATCCAGGGCAGTGTGCTCTGGGTGACCTTGAAAGGCTGTCTGGGAAAGCTAGCCCTAGCTCTGCTCCTCCTGCCTGAGGTCCGGCCCCTTCCAGGGATGCATACCCACCCACACCCACCCACACCTTGTCCAGAGGCCTGGCAATTCTGTCAGCAGCTCTGCAGAAGCATGCAGAGGGAATGAACAAAACAAGGAAAATTACTGAGTGAGTCATCCCCTGTCATCCAGTCCCAGCTTCTAGTACTCAGAGATTCAGGGACACCCAGAACATGGATTTTTATCCCTGACCATCATGGCTACTAGTGACTGATGACCCATAGTCCTTGTGTCATATGATGGAGTAAATGAACCTTTTTTTATTCACTTTTTCCCACAGCATTCATGATTTTATAGACCTCTATCATACTCCCCAGTTCCATAATACACTTTCTACCAAAGAAGTACTTTAAATCACACATGGTCCTGTAGACTAATAAAGAGGTCACTTTCTGCAAGTTAGATTTAATTATTTTAAATCACAAAAGATGTTTACTCCTCTTCTGAAACAAAGCTCCACACAAATGATCTGACTCAATTAACAGTAAGAGTAGAAAAAAAGCAAATGGATGCAACATACTGGTAAATATAGAGTCAGTAACTAGACATTTCACTCACAATGCAGTGTAGTCTGTGTTAGAGTGTACATCTCCTGCCTATTGGAACAATCTTGATTGTGTGTCTCTAATGCTTATCAGGTCTAAATTATTATGTGTAAACTTAATACTTAATCTTATCCTAGGAAGTGAGGTCCCAATAGTGTGGATCTATTCAGGAGAAGGTACCTTTTCAGAAATGCAATCACTCTTTGCCTAATTTGTGTTGTTCCATGTTCATTAGTGGTAGTTGAAAATAAGATATGTCTCTTTGATTACATAGGGTAAGTCACTGACTGTAAGCTAATGTTGCAACTGAGCATTAATTTTCTCTTTAGTGTGTTTATCCCCACCCTGCAAAAAAAATCCTTATATTTGTCCCACACGATTACAACGGAAATATTTTTCCTTGGCACCAAAGGAAGTTTTTTTTTAAAGATTTCTAAACTTTTAATTTAAAGTTCATAATCTATTAAGGCCATGTCTACACTGCCCACCTTACAACAGTGTGGTTGTGCTTCTGCAGCCACACCTTTGCAAGGTCCACAGAGTAGCTGCTTTTTGTGTCCAGGAGAGAACCCTCCTGGCAACAGAATAAAACCACCCTGAGGAAGGGGAGGTGGTTTCGTCGCCGGGAGAGCGTCTTCCACACCAGTGCTTTTTGTCGTCAAAACTTTTGTCATTTAGGAAGGGGTTTTTTTTCACACCCCTGAGCAACTAAAGTTTTAACAACAAAAGTGCATTATAAACGTGGCCTGTGTCACTTGCTTGGAAATATTTTTTGATCTGACATCGTTAAAGATGGAAAAAGTGTTTAGGATCAGATGACAAAAAAAGATAAAAATGAGTGCCACTAATTGTTATTAAACTATTTTTTTTATTCGACAGGGAACTGAAATTTGGTATTCCTATTACAGACGAAAATGGAAACAGGTTAGGTGAATCAGTCAAAGCTGCTCAGCAAGCCATTACACAGGTGGTTGTCTCAAGGATTCTCATGGCTGCACCTGGCATGGGTTAGTACAGTTTTAGTCAAACATAATGACTGTCCTGCAGTTGTTAGAATTCTGCATCTTTCTAGCTATTTATTCTATGTATATGTTTCTCTAATAGATCAAACTATCCTCAGGTTGTAAAGACAATAGTTTCACCTCTCTTTAGATGAGGGGTAGCCAACCTAAACCTGACAAGGAGCCCGAATTTACCAATGCACATTGCCAAAGAGCAACAGTTCTATGTCACGAGCCCTGATCATCTCTCCACCACCCCTCTCAGCACATCCCTCCCACCGGCAGCCCCAACCATCAGTGCCTCCTTCTCCTTTTCCTCCTGCCCACTGGGATCAGCTCTTTCTCAGTGGGAGACACTGGAGAGGTGTGACAGGGTCAGTGTAGAGGGTAGGAAGTGGCAGGATGGTGGGGGACAGCACTTAGGGCAGAGCTGGGGGTTGAACAGTGAGCACCCTCCGACCCAGTGGAAAGTTGGCACCTGTAGCTCCAGCCCTGGATTTGGTACCTATGTAAGGAGCCACATATTAACTTCTGAAGAGATGCATGTGGTTCTAGAGCCACAGGTTGGCCACCCCTGCTTTAGACATTCCAGGAAGAACCATGCTGTATTTTCCTCTTACATGGAACAGAAGTTATTGGAATGATTCCCAGGAAGAGATTTAGGCCATGACTACACTAGCAAGCTTACAGAGGTGCAGCTGTACTGATGCAGCTGTGCCACTGTAAGATTGCTCATGTAGTCGTTCTATACCAATGGGAGAGTGCTCTCATGTTGACATCATAAAATCACCTCAACAAGCGGTAGAGCTGTATTAGTGGGAGAAGCTCTACTGTCGACATAGATCTGTGCATGCATCCACTTATTTCGGCAAAACATACGCTGCTCTAGCAGAGTGTGTGGTTTTTTTCACACCTTTGAGCAACATAATTTTTGCTGATACAAGTGTTAGTATAGACAGAGCCTTACCTTCAAAGGTACTTAGCTCGCTAACTGACGTTGAAATCAGTAGGAACTAATTGCCTAAATACTTCTGAGAATATTGGTTTTAGGCAGCTGTCAGTGAGTGGTAACAGTGTCTACTCAAATGGAACAGAATTAGCTAAAAATCTGGACATATTTAACCAGTGCAAGGTCACTGAGGCTATGTCTACACTACAGAGTTTTTGAGGAAAAACGGCTGTTTTTCAGCAAAAACTTGCGGAGCATCCAATCCTCAAACACGTTTTTGCACAAAAAAATTGAACGAGCAGAGGGGTTTCTGCGCAGTAGGTATTCTTCTTTCTATGAGGAATAACTGCTTTTTGTGCAAGAGCTCTTGCGCAAAAAGGTGTATGTGGACAGGGAACAGAGTTCTTTTTAACAAAAAGAGGCAATCGAAAAAATCACAGGTGCCCTGGTGGCTTGTCTGTAAATACCAATCAGAGTTTCCTTTAGGCTGTGTCTAGACTGCAGGGTTTTTTCGAAAAAAGCCTTTTTTTTTTTTTTCAAATAAAGAGAGAGAGTCCATGCAATCTGGACGCTGTCTTGCGCAAAAGCGCATCACTTTTTCAATGTGCTTTTGCAATGTGGATGCGCTCTTGCACAAGAAGTCTGTAGTGTAGACATAGCCTGAGTGCTTAACCAGATTTTAAATAGATGAAAAATTGTCCATTCCAATGTGTTAGACAAGATGTCAAGTAAATATAAGGAGAGGCTGTAGAGGAGAACACAAAAAATCAAGTCAAATAAAAATGAAAAGCAATGAAATCTTCATCTCAGTTAATTTTAAGTCTTAACAGTCTGCTTTAAGGTGCATTTATTTTATTCAGGGCAGGTGTTTAATTATGTTGATAAGTCATCCATTAAGGTGCCTCAATTGGGGTGATTCTACTGTAAAATCATAGTTTATTTTTAAATAGTTTTCTCTGTGTTTAGTATCACATTATCATAGGATAATACATTTATAATGTAATCTTACAACAGATATGAATGTTAAAATTTGTATGTGGGCTGCATGTGAGGAAAATTTGCAATAGACTGAGTTGTTCAAGTGAAATGCTTGCAAACCTTGTTAGAGATACATGTAAATTTTGAATAAAGACTAAACAGACAGATATTAGGAATGGCAATACACAAAAACCTGTAGGAAAACACTTCAATCTCCCTGGACACACAGTAGCAGATTTAAAAGTAGCCATCCTACAACAAAAACATTTTAAAAACAAACTTTAAAGAGAAACTGCAGAGCTATAATTCATCTGCAAATTTGATACTATCACCTTAGGATTAAACAAAGACAGTGAATGGCTAGCCAACTACAAAAGCAGTTTCTCCTCTCTTGGTATTCACACCTCCACATCAGCTGCTAGAAGGGGGCCTCATCCTCCCTGACTGAATTGACCTCGTTATCTCTAACCTTACTCTTGATTGGAACTCTTTTCTTATGCCGGTATATTTATACCTGCTTCTGGAATTTCCACTATATGCATCTGACGAAGTGGATCTTTGCCCACGAAAGCTTATGCTCCAATAAAACTGTTAGTCTATAAGGTGCCACAGGACTTCTCGTTGTTCTTGCAGATTCAGACTAACACGGCTACCCCTCTGATACATGTAAATTTTGAAACGATCCTAATTAATTATTTGGATATGTCATTGCTCACACTGCAAGAAATTTAGATTCTAAAGATGGTATAAGATTTCCAGCTTCTGTTCTAAATTGCTGCAAAAAGGTTTATGGAAAACCAGACATTGTTTGCTACAATGTAAGCCTGTGTTTTTTATTTTCTGATTTTCAGCTATTCCACCCTTTATAATGAACACTTTGGAAAAAAAAGCCTTTTTAAAGGTAAGCCTTTATTGCTAAATATATGTATATAGGACATAGTCACATGTATTTCATATACAAAGCATTAAGTAAATGTCACATGAAGAAAGATTACGTCATCTTTTCAATAATATTTGTATTTTCATAAAACATTTTTTAAGTTATTTAACCCCAAATATGCACACAAAAAGTAAGTCATATCTGACAGCTAACCATTATAATCCCTAGTACATGGAAAATTTTGTTTCTGAATATGCATGAAGAAATGTTTAGAATATTTTCAGTAGTGCTGTTTGCTAATTAAATTATTAAATCTTTTATTAAATCGCTCAGAAATGCTGCGTAGCAATAGTGCAAATCAGTTGTTCAGCGCCAAATAGGATCTAGCCCTTTAGTATGCCTATGTTCAATTTCCCCATCTGTAAAGTAGAAATAATAAGATATTATGCTTGCTTTCATATATCTCTCTGATCAGGAGTGCAATGGAAGTATTATGATTTATTTTAATGATCTCATTTGAACTTGAGATCTTGGAGTCATTGTGGATAGCTGTCTGAAAACATCCACTCAGTGTGCAGCAGCAGTCAAAAAAACAAATAAAAAGGAATAATTAAAAAAGGGATAGAGAATAAAACAGAGAATATCTTACTGCCTCTGTATGAAACCATAGTACGCCCGCATCTTGAATACTGCATATAGATGTGGTCACTTCACCTCAAAAAAAATATATTGACATTGGAAAAGGTTCAGAAAAAGGCAACAAAAATGATTAGGGGTTTGGAATGGGTCCAATATGAAGAGAGATTAAAAAGACTTGGACTTTTCACCTTAGAAAAGAGGAGACTAAGGGGGGAGACATGATAGAGGTCTATAAAATCATGACTTGTGTGGAAAAAGTGAATAAGGAAAAGTTATTTACTTATTCCCACAATATAAGAACTAGGGGTCACCAAATGAAATTAATAGGTAGCAGGTTTAAAAAAACAAAGGGAAGTTTTGCTTCACACAATCAACTTGTGGAACTCCTTGCCAGAGGATATTGTGAAGATTAGGACTTTAACAGGGTTCAAAAAAGAACTAGATAAATTCATGGAGGGTAGGTCCATCAATAGCTATTAATCAAGATGGGTAGGAATGGTGTCCCTAGCCTCTATTTGTGTGGAAATTGATGACAGGAGAGGGATCACATGATGATTACAGCCGCTCCCCGAGTTACGACCACCTCCACTTACGACCATCCGCACTTAAGACCAAAGCGGTTGTAAATGCGGATCCGAGTTAAGAACGGCGATCCGCGCTTACAAACAGCGCGGTTGCCATGTAACTCTATGGGATCCGAGTTACAAACACTTCGAGTTACAGACCAAGCGTTGATCCGTAACTTGTTCGTAACTCAGGGAGCGGCTGTACCTGTTGTGTTCCCTCCCTCTGCAGCATTTGGTATTGGCCACTCTCAGCAGACAGGATACTGGGCTAGATGGATCGTTGGTCTGACCCAGTATATCTGTTCTCATGTTCTTATGTTCTTAACCCTGCCCTTCACCTCAGCCCTGTCTAAATAAAAGTTTTATAAATGGAATGAGTAGAGTACTCTGTATAGTAGGGCTACTCAACTTTGAAAGCCCTGGGGGCCACAATGATACTCACAGCACATGCCGAGGACTGCAACTTAAGTGTAGTTGCATATACATGCAAATATAAATGCAAATATACGCGAATAGCTTCTTTCGCACTGACGGGCAGGAATACAAAGGTTAAGGCAAGACTACACAACACGCACGCCCCATTTAAGTCAGTTCTGCTGATATTAATAAAATGCAATATTTATACAATTTCCACCCATATGACAGTGCTTTTAATGAGCAATGACAGGAATTTAAGTACTAAAACGAATATCAACAGAAGACCATTATATTGACTTGCCATTATGGAGTGTGTTCCCAGGGGAGGCCATGTTCAAAGGATCCCACCCGCGGTCCGCGTGTTCAACCCTGTGTAAACCCAAACCACACTGGGGGCCACAAACAAACAAGCCGCGGACCATGTGTTGAATAGCCCTGTTGTATAGCATCTTGTATGTGTAGACTATATTTTGGTCAAAATCTAGGGAATCGGAATTAGCTAACACAATGGGCTGCACACAGATTGCAATCTGTTATTGAATTATGTCATATCCTGCCTTCCTTCTCTTCCCCTCCCCAAAATGAATGAGCTGACCAAATTATAAAATACAACTACTATGTTTTTTTAAAAATAAAATAATTTCTGCAATATGCAATTCCTCTGTGTTCAGCAAGATTTTCTTGTTTCTGTGCAATACATATGAAGATTGAATTTATTATAAATACAATGGATATAATTTTAATTTTTTTAAAATGTTAGGTCAATAAAGAGAGGGGACAATCAAAAAGTATTGTGAAGAGAGGAAAAAAATCTTGTTTGAAAATGACCCATTTGAACTATGGGCAAATCAATTATTCGGTGTGCGTGTCTCAACAAGTATAATATATTTCTTATGTTTTATGTTTTATCCAATTGTTCATATCATGTCAGTATTACAGATCTATTAAGGTATTTTGGTTTACCTTTTACACTGTGTATATGCATGAGGTTGTAAGCAGCAGTAAAACATACTACATTGTGAATAAAACATCATACAGATTTCACATGAGACAAGAGCCAAGGCTATTTCTTAGTTATAAAGGTAAAATTTCTTTGCCCATTAATGTCCATTATTTTTTTGTATGACTGACTATGGACAAACACACAACTAAGTCAGGAACATGTTTATTTTTTGGAGCAGGAAAGAAGTAATAATGTGTATAAATTCACCGACACCCCTTGCAAAAGTAAAAGATTTTTAGTGTAATCATTTTTTAGATTGCACATGTACGTGCTTCTAAGGAATTATATTTCTGTTCTTCAGTCTTTGTTATTGAGTTTAGATTCCATAGGTACACTACTGAAATATACATGTTTGTGTTTGTGTACACACACGTGTGTATAAATGTGCATTTCATAAAGACTGTTTACATTTTATTTTCTTGTGTCCCCAAATTTAGAAAACAAAGTTTTTCTGAAGTGCTCACTTATTCAGAAAATTGTGTTCCTCACAGTGCTAAAATGTTGTTTAGTTTTTGAATGAAATTCTGTGCTCTATGCGAGACTTAAACTGAATGGATCTTCTAGCTGACAGGAGTGAAGCTCCCATATACAAACATCATGTTTTCCCCAATATTAATGAGTTCTATATTGATTTGTTCTACCTCTTACTCATGGACTTCCTTTGACCTTTAGACTACTTGGGCCATATGATAAACAGCACTGCACATGAAAATTTACAAATCATAAAGAGCAAGGACATTTATTTTCTGAAATCAAAGGGGTTGTAAATTTAGAGCATGTGCATGGAATAAAAAAAAAGTCATGTGACATATCAACTTGCATGGCAGAAACATGGCATTTGTAGCAAAAGAGTGACGGATTCCGTGTGTCTTTCTGGTCAAACTTCAAATATTTATTGTGCAGTATAATCAACATAAGGGTGTTGTGAATTTTGCAGATCAGCATACATGAGAGATTTCTTCAGTGGCTACTCAATGTTCTTTGGTACCATCATGATCGCTTATGCTCTCCTGTTCCTTCCCCTCAGCCTCACAGACTGTGAGTTCAGGTGAAACCTTGCTCTGCAGTTAGTCAGTGGTAACACTTGGTGTAGATTAGTTCTAAAACAATTAAGGAATGAGCTGCATTTTTAACAAGCAGCTTGTGCATGTCCACCTGAGGCTTCCAGAAGCACCATTCCACCTGCAATATTGTGACACCACCACCTACAATCTGCTTTACTAACATATGTCCCTCAGTCTTTGCTTTGCACACCAGCATGCCAGAAAATAATTATTCTGTGCTCGTAAAACACTTTTTGGGTGTGTCTACACTGCAGGTAAAAAACTACACCTGGCCTGTGCCAGCTGACTCAGGCTCACAGGTCTAGGGCTAAAGGGCTGTTCAACTAGGGTGTAGAGATGTTGGGGCTCAGGCTGCAAACCAAGTTCTGCGTCCCTCCTACCTTTAAGAGTCCTAGAGCCTGGACTCCAGCCCAAGTCTGAATGTCTGCACTTCAATTAAACAACCCCTTAGCCCAGAGGTTCTCAAACTCTGTGATACTGCGACCCCCCTCTAAGTAGCTCGCAACCCCCCGGGGGGTCAGGACCCACAGTTTGAGAAACGCAACTTTAGCCCTGGTCAGCTGGCATGGGCCAGTGGCCGTTGTTTAATTGCAATGAAGACATAGCCTTTAAGACCAAACAACCTGAAAATAACCCAATGTGTGTCAATCAGCAAGTCTCCATTTCTTTATATCCTGTTATAAAACATCTCTTTTTTCTGTTTCTTCATCGCTAACAGTTTCAATGGTAACATGGGAAAACCCAGGCACAATAGATGCTGCCAGTGGCAGGAGCCATGAACTATGACAGTATAGAAAAACATAGTTTTTCACTTTCATCTAATCTGACTTCCAGTAGAGGCACTTTGGATGCCTCTTCCACACAAACGGCTGAAACTTATTCTGTTGCCACCTGAACTTTAAGATTTTTTAAACCAGTTCTAATGCGTTCCATAAATGCATATAGTCTCTCATCCTACTTTCTCCTGTTGCTCTTCACATCGCTTCTGATTCCTGTATTTTCCCTTTTCATGTGATATAACCATCTAATTAGATTTTCTTAGTCTGGAATTGTAATAACCATTGCAAACTTTTTCCTAATTAGAGCAGTCTTGGTTCCTATAATTCTGCTCTTCCAGGGATACCTTATGATGTATTCTAGTTCCTTCCATCTTCCTTGAATTCCTTAACTACTTTCAGTAATGTTATTTGTCTAATTGCAAATAATGCATAGATTGCAGATTCAAAATATTTTCTGACAGGGAATAAAAGTAATAATTAAAAGTTTTCATACCTAAATGCCCCTTTCCATAACCTCATTATACACATTAGCCGACAATTACATCTCCCACACAAACCTTCTTGAAGCTAAGTCTTGGTACATTCAGAAATACTGTTTTCCTGAGTTCGTTGAGAGAATTTTTTTTCACCAAATTATTTTGTTGTATTGTGCTTCTGTCATTTTGTTTTCTCTTCATACATTCTGTATCTCATGTCTCTAATTTGTTTTTAATAAGGGTGTGTCTAGACTACCTAGTTTTGTCGACAAAAGTGGACTTTTGTCGACAAAACTATACCAACGTCTACACTACCGCTGAGTTCAGTCGACATAACGTCGACAGAACTCAGCAGTTTTGTCGACGCTGGTATACCTCATTTTACGAGGCATAACACCTTCCGTCGACAGAACTCTGTCGACGGAAGGTGTTATTGCCTGTAACATTGCGTCCAGACTACGGAGTTCTGTCGACAAAGCAGCTTGCTTTGTCGACAGAATTCAATGTGTCTGGACGCTCTTTGTCGACGGAAGTTTTGTCGACAGTATCTGTCGACAAAACTTCCGTCGACAAAACGCGGTAGTCTAGACGTACCCTAAGTGTAATTGATTTATGCCTTATTCCTTCATTGGATTATTTTCCCTCTTCCAGATATTTGTTCCTCAAACTGATCTTTAATACTGACTTCTTCCTCCCACTCTTTTAAATATTAGCATAATCCAGCAGCATTCTTGGACAATAAAGCTGATAACTTTATCTGCATAACAGGCATTTTAACATTCTACTGCCATGAAACAAATGAACAAGTTTTATGTTAATGATGCTGCCTGGGCAGTTAGACATACCTGTGGCTTTTAGAGTAATAACCTGCTCAGATGAAGGCTGAATGGACACTGTGTTTTACTGTGATAAAAGCACAGATCTGTCTTGTTATATCCTATTGTACCCCACATGAACTGATGCCTCTGTCTTACGAGACTATCTCAATTCCCTCCACATTCAGTAGTTGAAATCTCTTCTGCTTCTGTGATGCTGTTCCCAGTCCCTCCGGTTCTTGTCGTTAACTCTCCCACTCTATGAAACTAAAGCCTTTTGAATCAATCTGTCTGGGGGTGAAGGTCTGATAAAGATGCTTTACTTCAATGCCAGAAGAATGCAGCATAACTAAATTCATCCTCTTTTATTGCCTGGGTACGGCTTTTCCCCTTTTGTTTTCTATTTTTGTAGATATTTGATAAATTGGACAGTTCCCTTCTGCAGCCATTTCTGGACTACAGACTGCCTGAAACAAAGAAGGGCACAGTCTGATATTACTTCTTCTTTCTTGTGCCCCATAGGAAAGAGTATTGTTTTCCCACTTCTTTGTTTCTGCTGTGATCTTTTATCACCAACCTCGTCATCCTTACTTTCTTAAATTCCTCCTTTTCCTTCATTCCCTATTGCTTCCATTTTCCCCTCTAAAATCCTGACATTCAGTTTTGTTGTTGGTTCTCCAGTTTCCTACAAGCTTAAGAAATGCTTCTTATAGACACGTCATTTTTATACTTACTAATCTTAACTAATTAACTGCTTTGTTTTAAATCAACATGTTGTGATAGTGATTGTGTGCTTCATGTTGTTTAGAGACTTTAATTTTATGGTAAAGAAAAACCTCATCACAGCAAAGTTTAATTTAAAATGTTTGGTTCTATTTAATTAGTATTTAATTTCAACTGGAATACTAACTTTAAAAAAAATCATCCAAAGACCTACAGTAAAAGTTTTGGCTAAGAGCCTTTGATGAGATGCAAAAGAGTACAACAGAGAGGAACCCCCACAAATATCACACTTGGTCAGAAAATACTATTTTGCTTTGCTAAACAAATCACAGCTTCTATTTTATCAAGTATCAGAGGGGTAGCCATGTTAGTCTGAATCTGCAAAAGCGGCGAGGAGTCCTGTGGCACCTTATAGACTAACTGCAGTGTAGGAGCATAAGCTTTCGTGGGCAAAGACCCATTTCGTCAGATGCATGTAGTGGAAATTTCCAGAGGCAGGTATAAATATGCAGGCCAGAATCAGGCTGGAGATGACGAGGTGGATCCAATCAAGGAGGATGAGGCCCACTTCTAGTAGCTGGTCTGGAGGTGTGAATTCCAAGAGAGCAGAAGTTGTTTAATCCAGAGTTGATTGTGTCAAACTTGTGTCCATTGATTCACTGATGCATAGAACAACTTGAGGGAGCACAAAAGATTGAAATGATGGCCAGGATTCAGTATGGACACAGATCTGATATTAGGAATGGCAACATACAAAAACCTGTAGGAGAACACTTCAATCTCCCTGGACACACAATTGCAGATCTAAAGGTAGCCATCCTGCAGCAAAAAAACTTCAGGACCAGACTTCAAAGAGAAACTGCTGAGCTACAGTTCATCTTCAAGTTTGACACAATCAACTCTGGATTAAACAAAGACTGTGAATGGCT